CGTCATATAAAGATGATCTTGAGAGTGAGTCTTCCAGGGAAGCAAATAGACAGGTTAAATAATGACAATTCTCTGGGAACGAGGCTGTGGAATTGCTCTAAGGCCCTCCCTCCCTGCTCTAGTGGCTGCTGGGATGTTGGTTTTCACCGAGATAGTGGAATTTTAGTATTCAAGTCTACTGTGGGGCTGAGAGTGGGAGATGGGATAAAGCAAGTTAAAATGTTGTAAAACTTTCTGTTCTTACCAGGATTCTACAACTTTTATTAAATAGATAACCCTCCAGATTGTTGCAAACCTTTGGTAAATTTCTGGAGCTCTGAGGAAGTTGATTATGACAATTTTGGCCAGCTTTGTTGTTGGTTTTATGTAGGAGAGAATTTACAGAGGCTGTTACTCTGTCATTTTCACTGACATCTTCCTGGAGAATTTTTAAAATGTGAATATTGTCACTGTTTAAAAGACATACTGTGTTTTGACCAGTCTGGCTACCTGACCTGGCCACCATGAGGATCTTATTTTTTTAAAAAAAATTTAAAAGAATTTTTAATTTAATCTTATTTACTGTTATTTTAAAATTTGCTGTAGGGCACATGCACTCACCAGAGCGAGAAAGAGTGAGATAGAGAGGGAGAAGGAGAGGGAAAGTGAAAAGGCAAGCTTCCAGTTCCAGGACTCAAACTGCTGTTGGCCACGTGGGAATCACCACGCCTCCTGCTGACCCTCACCATGGGAATCTTAGACTATTTAGTTAGGAATTGAAATTTGTAGGGGAGAAAAGATAACCCGTGGGTTATAGAAAGAAGCCCAGGAAACAGGGGGCGAACAGTATCCAGAGATGGGCAGCGGCGGGGTAAGCAGTAAGTTCTGTGGTCAGAGGGCAGCAAGCCGTGCTGACAGTCCCGAGTATGTGCGCCTGTGCCCATCCACCTTGGGTCATGGGGCTTCAGGCACGGGGGTCTCTCAGCTTTCCAGGAAGGCCTTGAAGGTAACGAATGCCTGATTTGTTCCCAGCACAACCAGGTCCTGAGTGCTGGCTTCTGACTTGTAGGGTCCTGCTGCATGCAGACCGCTGCCCGGGTAGACATTCACAGTGCTCTTTCACCTGCTTCCTGGAACTGAATTCCTTTTCTGAGCCCAGAGCCCTCTGAGTGTGGGAGATGATTCCTCCCTTCAGTCCTCACAGAAGACCACTGGTTTTCCACAGTAAACCTTCTTGTGGAACCGAACTACAGGACTGTCCTTCTACAATGCTGTGTTGAGAATCTGAGAAACACTAATCTGAATCGGCTCTTTTTCATCAGATCAGTCGGGTCTCCCAAAGAGCAAGGAACAAAATTTTCTGTTGGGGACAGCAAGTGATATAGTGCTTAAGGCACTGGACTCCCACATGGCCGACCACGGTTTGAGTCCTGGCCCTGGTGGCTTGCTTTCTCACTTTCTCTCTCTGTCTCCCTCTCACTTTGGTGAGCTCACATGATCTGTAACAAAAATTTTAAAACATAATAAATATAAATAAAATGAAATAAACCATTAAAAAAAGATTGTTTACTAGGCTGGAAAGTTTCCATTCCTCAATTGACCATTTTTTCCTTTCTTTCTTTCTTTCTTTTTTTTTTTTTTTTTTTTTAGAGTTTTTCTCCATTTTTTTTTTTTTTGTAGAGATTTTCTCCTATAGGGCACGTGTGCTCGCCAGAAAGACAGGGAGAGACAGAACGATAGCGAGAAATCACTCCCTCCTCAGGGGAGATGGCCACACCGCAATCCCTTCTCCTCCATTCTCCTCTTGGGATCTTGGGCACCCACGCACACACGCCTGGTGTGAGTTTAAGCCATCGGGTTCGAGACTTGAAATGTGGTCGACTACATGGGAGTCCAGCAACATAGCCGTTATGCTAACTGCTGGTCCCCTCAAATGACCATTAAAATCGACAACATAAGGTCCAAACTCTGTCCTATGGCACCAATCACCCAGGCCCTTTCCAACCCATGAGCCCTCAAATGATGGTGAAGAATGACAAGGCTCTCTGCACAGAAGAAGAGCGTTTTATTTGGTGAGGAACATGGGCTGTTACACATGCTGGTGGGAAAGGAAGGGACAAGTATCCTCGGAGAGAAGCAGCCGTGTCATTTTCCAGCATGGCGGGCCAGCCTTCTGAGAGCCCTGGGAAGCAAGCCAGCAGGGAGTGGGTGGAGCAGCAAGAAACGTTCTGGTAGGAGATCCCAATCAGAATGGAGACTCGAGGACACTGGGGGTCACTTATTGGAACCAATTCATCACCAAACTTGCCCCAGAGTGATAGGAGGCAGCTAAGACCCTGGGACTTTGGGTCTCGTCTCAGCCATGGTAGTCCAGGCCTGGGGTCAGGAGCTTTCCATGCATGTGTTTGTCTGTGTACCCATGTGAACCTGTGTGTAGCAAGTTTGCCTGTGTGTGCACATGTGTATGAGTGTGCTGGTATGGCAGTGTGTGCATCTGTGTCAGTGACCATGCGTTGGTTTAGGCATGCACACATGTGTGTATTTCCATGATGACATGTGCTGCTTTTTGTAGAGGGGTTGCAGTGCCCTCTGTGTCCGTCCACCTATGTCAACTTTCTTGGGGACTCCCCTGGGTAGCTCTGTGTGGGTTTCTTTCTTTAGATGCTATTGTCCCAGCCCCCCTGCTGCCTTCATCCTGGAGAAGTCAGTCCCCTGAATCCTGGGGAGTAGGAAGCAGCACCCACCTGCTCCATAGAGGCCGGATCCCTTCTCAGAGGGCTTACACCTTTATAACAAATTCGAGTCCTCTGATAAGCATGTCTAGACAACAAAAGAACAGGCTAGAGCCAGGATCTTCAGGTAAAGGCATCCAGGAATGTCATACCTGTTCCCTGGGGCAGGCTAGGGGATGAGAGCTTTGGGAATTTAGCCATGCTTAGGCAGAGATTGGAGGGTCCAGGTCTCCTGTCACCACTGACCCAGCTGTTCTCAGTGTCAGGGCTGAGGGGAGACAGGTTCTATACCTCAAAACCATTTGGGTAATTCACGGGGAAAAAGGAAACCCAAGTGGAGAAAGTTGAGGCCAAGGGGAACAGGGACAAACTCCTGGGGAAATCACTGCTCTTACAGAGAGGCAGCGAGGGCTCAGAAACTGGTACTTACCAACAATGGCATGCTCCAGGGTGACATCCAAGTGGCTGAGAACCTCATTGAGCATAGGGCATACCTGACCCAGGGGCAGAAAGGGGAGTTAGGCAAAGTAGCACCTGCAGGGAGATCCCGGGAGCAGCAACATCCCCAGGGTGAACACTTGGGGAGATTTTCTTTTTTTTTTTTTTTCTGTGTCCAAGTGTTTGATTCTAAGCAATACCACAGACAAATGGTCACACATGCACACCAGGAGAAGGAGAAACTAGAATTTTTTTTTTAAGTGCCCAAATCAAACCAAAACAATGTTTGCTCCATGACCTTGCATCTGTCCCTTGACAGAGTGGAGTGCCCTGGGAGGGGTGAGTTTCTGGTTCTAGGAGGCACCCAAGCATGGGCTGGACATCTGCTCATTTGTAGACATAGAAGGCTGGGTGAGGAGCTTTGCAGGGTGGGGGCTAATCCATTTTGGCTCAGTGTGGACATGTCATGGCCTGGCTCAGAGCAGAAGTCAATCCATGTGTTTGGAAGGATGGAGAGAAGAAGCATGGGTAGATGGGTGGGTCAGTGGAGATGGAATTTACTTATCAAACAGAGGCTCAGCAGCTCACCCTTGGGCTCTCTTTGGCCTGAGAAGCTCTAATACCCAAGGATCAGGGGGCTCCAACGTTTGGCCACTTACCTTCTCCTGCACAAGGTCAGGAAGGACATTATTCAAGGCATTTGTGAGGCTATCAATAAGGCTCTGAACTGGGAGGGAAGGAAGTCTGAAAGAGAAAAGTCATGGAGTGATGCAGAAGGTATGAAGAAGCCCTCAGAGGGGCCACTGTGCCCCTCATGACCTCAGCACTCAGTAACTGAAGCCAGGTCTTGTCCATCACACCCATGGGCAGGCGAACAGAAAGGGTCCTATCCAAAGGGAGCCACAGCCCACACAACAGTGCACGCACAGGTAGGTGTGGAACAAACTCACAGTTCTAGGACATAGTTCTCGTCGACTCTATAGAATCCAGACAGGAATGAACAGTGCCTACTATATAGTACTCATTAGTGGTCCATGAGACCATCCGCAAGGTACGTGCTCAGTAAAAGTAGGCTATGATGTGGACGGCTCTTGAGGGTTTTGTGTGGCTCAGTCCCCTGGGTGACCGGTTACTGAAATAACTAGTTAGGGTTCATACATAATTTACCCTAATTGGGGCAAAGCACTTTGAAGCCCATTATTTTGGTGGATTCTACCAATAACCCCAGTGTAGTTCCATGTTGCAGATAAGTAAGCCAAGGCCCAACCTGGGGAAGCACTGTTCAGGTTCACACAGGGCTCCCTCAGTCTCTTCCCTTTCCCTGGTAACAGGCAGCGCTTAAACTCAGATTTCTTGTAGTTCAGTGTAGTGTCTTATAGTTAAGTGATCAGCCTGACCTAAGAAGGGGTAAGTGACTATTTACTCACCCATTTACCTATCCAGCTGTCCACACATCTGCCTGTCCATCCTTCCTTCCATCCATCTAACCATCCGTCTGCCCTTCTTTCTATCCATTCATCTATCCACTCGCCCATCCTTCTTCCCTCCCTGCCACCCTCCATCTGTTTTCCTGCTCTTCCACCCTGCCATGCATGCATTTCCCATTGCTCCGTCTCTCCGACCATTCATTCATTACCCACCCTGTTGTCTCTCGGCAGGAGAAGCCCCCCTCTGGCCTTACCCATCCAGTAGGGAGATTTGCAGGCTTCCTGGGGAGTGGATGCAGTCACCAAGGACCAGGTGGATCCTCTGCCGAGCATCTTTCACAGCCAAGAGTTCTGCAGTGATGTTTAGCTTCACACTCAGTCTCAATAGATTCCCGAGTAAAGGGCTGGAGAGGAAATCGCCCTACTGGCATCTGGTTCCAGCACATTCCAAGGCAGAGAGTTTCTCCCTCCTTGCCAGTAATGCCAACCTCACTGCATCTTGCCCATGGCTGTATTCATCTATTACCCAGTAGGGAAAACCAAGTCTCAAAGAGGTCAAGGGAATCCCCCAAGAGACCCAAAGTCACTCAGCATAGCAGCAAATGAGCTGACCTGGAGGCTCAGATGTTAGATGCTGACACCCCCTTTTTGGGTGTACTTGGTGAGTCATTCTCCCATCCCCTCCCCGCTTAGGGTGCACTCACATATTCACATTGAGTGTGAGGCTCACAGGAACAGTGACATAAAGACGATGGCCATCAGGAGTCTGAACAAGGCCGAGTTCCAGCAGCTGGGGGTTAGTGACCTTTATACTGCGAGGAGAAACATTTGAGGGAAAAATATTAGCTCCTTGGGCCCCAGACCCAGAAACCACCTTTAACCCAACCTTACCCACCTTAGAAGAGGAGCTACCCACTTAGCATTGGGAAGAGGGAGGGGAATCTTGCAGCAGAAGCCACATAGGTTCTGAGTCCGCAATTGGGTCTTTCTATGGACAACATGTTGTTCTTAGAGCATGGAAGATATAACTCACAGGAGCAACTTCCTCTTGCTTACATCAAAGACCATCCGCGTTCTAAGGGATTCCAGAGGCGGGGAGAAAATGGTAGCCACGTGGTGGAGGAGGCCTTGGCTTTGAGCCTAGGTAAGTTAGAGCTAGACTGCTCCCACGGCAACCCTCTGGCCGTGTGAGCACGGGTACCTCTCTTGCCTCGGTTTCTCACCTGTAAACTGGTGGTTATTAAATAGACCCCAAAGGTTGTCATGACAATTACAGAAGATGCTGGGGCCCCTGAATGTGCTTCAGGACTGGGGACAATTACTGATCCACGGGGTCTGATGTCTCCCACCAGACTAGGGGAGTCTCGGGGCTGAGTCCAGCCTCCAAGTTTAGCCCACCCTTTCCTCTCCTTCAGGGCCATGCCCCAAGACAGGCAGAGCTTCACCTGGTTTCTGGGGGAGGGTGGTTCCCCAGGCTCTATTTTCGGGCAACTCACTCGACAATGTCATTCAGGATAGGGATCTCTGAAGTCACTTTTCCAAGCAGGCCCCCCACTTTTTCAAGCAGGCCATTGGAAGGGCCCCCTTTAAGCTTCAGGGTGTCCAGGAGTGGAAGGTTTTCCAGAATTCCCAACAGATCCCCAGAGAGCAGGCCATTGCTGAGTGCTGGAAATGAGTACAAGGGCCCCTGGGGTTAGATTTGATAACAGCCATGCAGGCCCTGTCCCCCATTCATCCTTGCCCCTCCCTCCCATTAGGTGTTTACACACACACACACACAGACATGCTTGAAAGAGGCTCTCACAAACTCACCACTTGTCAAGTCTCCAGCGAGACCTGTGGGACTGGAGGGCAGGGATGGAATTAGGCTTGAGGTCAGGGGTTCGTCTGGTGGTAAGGGCAGGTTTGTAAGCTGGGTTGTGGCCTGGGCCAACAACCCACAGAAGACAATGAGGCCCCCAATTTGGAACATCTCTCTTGATATCTGTGGATGGAATGACAGGTCCAATGTGGCATGGATGTCAGAGAGGAATTTGTCCACTGCCTGGTCCCATCTCCTGGGGGGTGGGTTCTCATCTATTTGCTCCCCAGAACACGAGGGGACCACTAGTAACAGCTGAGACCACTGGGCATTTCTCCCTGAGACATGCGCCCTTCTTACCCGTAGTACACAGGTGAGGAACTGGAGACTGCTTCTGTAGGTAACTGCCCCATGGACACAAGTACAAGGTGGAGAGGGGGTTTGGAGACAGGTCTGTCTGACCAGGGGCCTCTGTCTAGATTCACTGACCACTCTTGCATGGGACTTGATTGTGATGGCCCAAAACATGGCCCTATTTGCTGCTTTTCAGGCAAAGCCAGCGAAGAGGCTTAACCCTGCAGGTGTCTGAAGAACAGAACTGCTTTGCCACCATCCCTGGTACGCTGTAGGCCTGAACCCAGGTTTGCAGACACTCCTACAGGCCATAGAGTATTAACGGTCACATGGCCCATAGCCACCATCTAAAGCAGATCTGTGTTAGGTGAATCCTGGGGCCATCCAGAGTCCACATGGCACAGAGACTCCTAGGACCAGGGTGACTTTACCAAAATCACACAGCAAACTGATGGCAGAGTTGTGATCAGGGGCAGGTCTTCGAACCCACCTCTCACCCCCACAAGCAGACACAGTATCTTTTCTCCACCGCTCTTTTCTCCCTCTAGTTGCCCTGGATGAGCTTCTAGGGCAACTCCGAAGTCTGACTGCCTTTTGAACCAGTGTCTCCCTGATACCACTAGGTCTCTTATGGGTCTATTTGGCAACCAGCAGAGGAATCAAAGCCAGAGCTAGTATGAGGCTTTGAGATAACTGAATGCTTGGGGCAAAACGCATCAGTTAGCGTAATGGCTATGTCACTGGGCTCCCATGTAGCTGACTGCAGTTTGAGCCAGGACCCAGTGGCTTAAACTCACGCCGGGCGTGTGTGCGTGCATGCCTAAGATTCCGAGAAGAGAATGGAGGAGAAGGAATTGCAGCATGGCCATCCCCCCTGGGGGTGATTTCTCGCTTTCTGTCTCTCTGCCTCTCTCTGTCTTTCTGGTGAGTGCATGCGCCCTATAGCAACAACAACACCAACAAAAAAAAAAAAAAAAGAAAGAAAGAAAAAAGAAAAAAACCTCTTAAAAAAAAAAGCCCCACCAATGCTGTGACTGGCTGGAGTTGAAAGGCCTTTTTGGTCTTGAGAGCTGTCTGTGGTCTCCTAGGGAGATAAACTTTTTTTTTCTAAGAGATTTTTGCTATAAGGCGTATGCACTCACCAGGGAGAGACAGAAAGACAGAAAGTGAGAAATCACCCCCTGGCAGGGGGATGGGCACACTGCACTCCCTCCTCTATTCTCCTTTTGGGATTTTGGGCATGCACACACATGTGCCTGGTGTGAGTTTCAAGCCACCGGGTCCAGGACTCAAATGATGGTCGACCATATGGGAGTTCAATGACATAACCACTATGTCACCTGCTGGTCCCATTTGTTTTTAATTGCCAGAGGGCACATGCCCTCAAGAGAGAGAGACAGAAGGGGAGAAAGCACCCCCAGTGAGGCCTGGGCATGCTGCAATCCCACCCCGTTTCTCCATCCCGTCAGAATTTTGGGCACACGCGCACATACACTCAGTGCAATTTGCAGACCTCTGAGGCCAGCATTTGAATTGCAGTCAGCCATGTGGGATCTGACTCCTTTAACCGCTAGGCTGCTGATCAGGACCTCTGCGTCTCTTTTGGGCAACAGACCCTTCATGAATATTTTAATGGAAGCTAAGGATCCTAGCCCCAGAAAAATGAGTCAAAATGCACAACATTGGGTGGACAGTTTTAGGAGCTTTGTGGGTGACCTAACATAGGCAATCTCAAGTTAAAACTCTTGCCTTCGTGATTCTGGTCTAGGGTATGAATAGCCCTCATTGCTCTATCCATGGTCCCTTGGGAAAGAGGGAGGGGCCCTTGCCCTTACCCATCACAATGAGTGATCGTCAGTGTAGTCTGCCAGGGCCTGTCCCCAGTGGAGGGCCTGGCATCCCGGTTGCTAAGGCCAGCAGAGGGGCAGCAGGATAGGCAGGTCTCACCTGGGTCCTCAGAGGTCTCGGCAGCTGTCAGCTCCTCTTCCCTCTCCTCACTTGTGCCGAAGAGGCAGCCTCTTTTATAGTGCAGGAATCAGGAAATGTACGACTGCGTGATGTGCTCCTAGATAATTCAGAATTCTGCATTCCGGGGTGTCTTTCAGGTCTCTCCAAAGTAAATAATTGCCTATCACATTAGCAGGTGAGACAGTTAAGCTATTTGGTCGACAAGTTAAACAAAAACTTGAGATGGGATGTTACTCCAGACTTCTCTGGTTGGTGAGCATGGCTGAGACTGGAGACCCCGCTCCGGGTGGCGGGAACTGGGAGAGGCAGCCTGTCGGAGCCCAGGAAGGGACCTCGGTTCAGTTCTTTGCCCCTTTCTTTTCCTGGCTCAGTTCTTTTTCTCTAGTTGGAGGAGTCTGGATCTCAAAGTGTCACAAGAGTCACACTGCATAGATTTCTCTCTACGTAGGGCATGCTTCAATTCCAGGGCAGGGGTCTCCCATTTTTGGAAACTTAAATGCGTGACAGTTACACAATAGGGGTACATGTCCTCACAAGAACCTGGGAGGGGGTAGTTACTGCTTCTTCTTTACAGAGGAGGAAACGGCCCAGTGGGAACAAGTGCCCAGAGATACGGAGGGTGTGGCAGATTAGAACACAATTCACTGGGTAATAAGAACAATGTAAATGGCTGACACCTGCCGACCTCTTGTGGCTGCCAGGCCCAGGGTGAGTTTTTCCGTACGGTTCCTCTCGGTTCCTCTCGAGCCCTCACAGCCCTGAGTGAAGTGGGAATGAGGTGTTTTTTTCTTTCTTTCTTTCTTTCTTCCTTTCTTCCTTTTTCTTTCTTTCTTTCTTCCCCTTCCTTCCTTCCTTCCTTCCTTCCTTCCTTCCTTCCTTCCTTCCTTCTTTCTTTCTTTCTTCCTTTTTTTTTTTTCATTTATTTATTGTGATTTTTTAAGTTGCTGGCTCCGGGACTCGAACTGTAGTTGGCTATGTGGGAATCCAAGCACCCTAACCACCACACCAACTGCTGGCCCAGGAATTCATTTTTACAAGGGGAAACTGAGGGTCAGGGCTGCACCGCTGGCTTGGTGAGAGACGTTCGCACTCTGGCCTTTCTCTTCTTCGTTGCACTGAGGACGAAGGTGCCTGCCACACACTTGCTGACCGTTTTGATTCCCACAACTGTGAATTTTATGCTCCCATTCTTATTTCCTAGAAAAGTAATGGAAACTTCCCCATTTTCTACGGGGGTCTTGTTTCTGTCCCAGAGCTTGGTTTGGTTCGGACAATGGAAGGAGGTGGCCCTGACCCTGTTTTTAACTGAAAGTGCAGAGACAGCCACAGGTCATCTGTGACACCAGAGCTGAGACATGGCACTTCCCTTCTGTCTGAAAGGCCCACTTGGATTTAGCATTTACTTTCTTTTTTCTTTTTCAAAAAAAAAAATTTTTTTTTAGGTTTTTGCCATATGGTGCATGTGTTTGCCAGAGAGAGAGAGAGAGAGAGAGACAGGGAGAGGGAAATTGAGAAATCACTCCCTGGGGGGATGGCCATGCTGCAATCCCTTCGTGTCTATCCTCCTCTTGGAATTTTGGACATGCACTCACAGGCACCCAGTGTGATTTTCAAACTGCCAGGTCTGGAACTTGAACCATGGTAGACCATAGGAGTCCAGTGCCTTAATCACTATGCCACCTGCTGGCCCCAACTTTCAAATGCCTCATTAGACACAGAGTCCTCCTGCTGTTTCTCTATTCCTTGGGCCTCAGGTAGGACTTTGGGGGCTGCTAAACCCATCCTCCTGGGCCCACCTAGACCTCCCATGAACCACATCTCCCTGGGTGCTCATAGCCTCTCCTGGTTCTGGGAGGGAGCATGGGCTTAGACGTCCTCTGTTCTGGAACCTTGCACTTCTGCTTGGGATTTTGGTGCCCACCCACCCCCCACCCCCCCTGTCATGGGTAGCTTGGGGAGTGGCAAGGGCCTGAGACCCTCGGAACCCTCCAGCACTCTGTGCTCTTCAGTTCTCTCCAACTCGCACTCCACTGGCCCAGCATAGACATTTTCTAGTCTTTAGGGCAGGAAGTTTTACTTCAACTCATTACATGTATGCTGTTTTCACATATCCTATGCAATGAATTTCCTTCTTTTCTTTTTTCTTTTAAGAAAGATTTTTGCAATAGGGCATGTGCGCTTGCCAGAGAGACAGAGCAGAGAGACAGAAAGCAAGAAATCACCCCCTGAGGGGGTGGCCATGCTACAATCCCTTCTCCAATTTCCTCTTGGGATTTCGGGCACACACGCACATGTGCCTGGTGTGAGTTGGAAGCCTCCGAGTCCAGGACTTGAACTGGAGTTGATCATGTGGGTGTTCAGCAGTGTAACCATTATACCATCTGCTGACCCCTCTTTTCTTTAAACAACAAAAAAAAATTGTTATAGGGTGCATGTGCTCTCTGGAGAGAGAACTCACTCTCCAGAAGGATGGCCATGCTGCAATCCCCTCTTTTTCATTCTTCTCTGAGGATTTTGGGCATGCACGCACATGTGCCCAGAATGTTTTCCAAGCCACCAGGTCCAGAACTCTAACCACAAAGTCAGCCATGTGGGATCCAGTGCCTTAACCTCCATGCCATCTGCAGGCCCATTATGAAGTTTAAAATGGAAAAATCCAGGCTTTACAAATGAGAAGAAAAGGACCAACAGGTAGCGTGATGGTTAAGGCACTGAACTCCCACATAGCCAATTGTAGTTTGAGTCCCAGACCCAGCAACTTGAAAATCATGCTGACATGTGTATGTGCATGCCTAAAATCCTCAACGGAGAATGGAGGAGAAGGGATTGTGGTGTGGCCATTCCTCTGGGGGATGATTTCTCACTTTCCTTCTTTCTGTAACTCTCTGTATCTCTCTTCTCTAGCAAGAACATGTGTCTTATGACAAAAACAAAAACAAAAAAGACAAAACCAAAACCAAAACACCCCTCCAAACCCCCAAATAAATAAATACATACATACATTAAAAAAGAAAAGGCCATACGGTGAGGTTGACATTTCTCTCTCGGTGTGTGCCTCGTTCTGTGTTATCCCCCATGCAGTTTCATGCAGCCGCATTGTAACTAACATACAGGACAGTTCCCTTGTCCCCCCAGACACTCTCACATGTTCCTTCATAGTCACACCCTCCCCCACCTGCTGGCAACCACTGACCTGTTCCCTGTCACTATCCATTTGTAAAAACCCAGGCTTTGGAAATCAAAAAGCCTTTTCTCTGCCTCTGCAGGGAATGCCCTTCCTAGAAGCCTCGGGGCTGCTTGTCCATGTCCTGAGCAGGGGAAGGGTCTCGGGCCCCAGGAAGCAAGAGGAGGTGTATGCTGTCACACTCAACATTTTGAGACCTGTTTTCTTACCTGGTGATATCCACGCTGCCCTAGCGTGTTTCTCAGAAACCATGGGCAGTGCCCTTTTCTTCCCACTGCTCAGATTATGATTGTATTTGGGAGCTGTAGGGGTGTTGCTTTGTGAATCAAAAGAACCACTTTTAGGGAGCAGAACTGATCTTAGTTTTCAGAGGGCTGGGCCTATGTAAGGTCAATTCTCCAGAATTTGGGAGTAGGAGGCTGAGTCTGTTCTCCGGGAGAAAGGTCAGATTGGGGGCTGAGTTGGGGTGAAGGCTGTTGCCAGACGGACTTAAAAACTCTAGAGGGTAACTGAGAGCCAGACACCCTGACTTTGATGAGAGAACATGAGGGAGATCTTCAAAAAATTTGCGGAAAATGCATGTTACCAGAAAACTCTGCATGGCTTTCAAAAATTTTTTTTATACAAGAATAAATTTGTATTTTTACTCCATTTTCCCATAAACTTTCTGATTTATAAGTCCCCTCATAAATGTTCTTTTTAATTTTTTAATTGCCAGAGAGTGTGTGCTCGCCAGAGAAAGACAGGAAGATAGAAAGAGGAGAGGGAGATAGCATCCCCTGTGGGGCATGGTCACATTGCAATCGCTTTTCCTTCAGTTCTTCAGCCTGTCAGGATTTGTGGCACACAGGCACATATGCCTGGCATGTTTTCAAGCTGCCAGGGCTGGCATGCAAAACTCAGTCAGCCATGTGGAATCTGGCTCCCTTAACTGCTAGCCCACAGGACCACCCCTACCTTGTATGTATTCTTTTTTTTTTTATTTTAAGTTTTGCTGTAGGGCATATGTCCTATGAGAGAAAGAGAGAGAGAGATAGGGAAAATGAGAAATCACCCCCCCAAGGGGATGGCCACACCACTATTCCTTCTCCTCCATTTTCCTCTAGAGATTTTGGGCACTCAAACATACATGCATAGCATGTAGTCAAACCTCCAGTTCTGGGACTTGAACTGTTATTGTCTACTCAGTGAGAAATAAAAGGACATCCCAACACAGCCAAATTTATTGGAGTTGATTGATTAAGCTGGTGGCATATGGGGAGACTCATGACTCTCAAAAGCCCACAGCCCCGAGTGAAAGGAAAAGTGTGCTTATAAAGGCAAAGATCACAACTTTTCCCCCCTGGTTGATAGAATGATCACAAGGACAAGGTGTGGTGGGCTTGGAAGGGTAGAGGGGAGATTTTACAAAAGCAAAAGCACATTACAGAAGCAGAACGAGAAGGTAAGCAGGTTAATCATTCCTAAAGGTACGTTCGTCCCTGCCTAAACACAATGGCATCTCACTGGTCTCCATGGCTCCAGGCAAGGTCCGGTGACTGGTGATTATATCTTAAGACAACTAGGAGGAGAGAGGTTTAAAGACAAGAGGAATGTTATTGGGACCAGCAGTTAGCATAATAGCTATGTCGCTGGACTCCCATGTAGCTGGCTGCAGTTCGAGTCCTGGACCCAGTGGCTTAAACTCACGCCAGACATGTGTGTGTGTGTGCCCAAGATCCTGAGAGGAGAATGGAGGAGAAGGGATTGCGGCGTGGCCATCCCCCCTGGGGAGTGATCTCTCGCTTTCTGTCTCTCTGTCTCTCCCTGTCTTTCTGGCGAGCGCACACGCCCTGTAGCAAAAACCTCTCCAAAAGAAAAAGGCAAAAGAGGAGAAGTCGAGTTTCTAGTCATAGGAATGTAACCGTTTATTAATGGAGGCGCTCCTCCAAGATGGAGTTG